GTTTTTGCAGAGCATCCATGTGGCAGCCATGATAACGACGCTACCAGAAGAAGCAAAGCTTCACCAATCCCTTGACGCGTGGAGCTGGGCGTATGCTTTACAGTGGCGTCAGCGCAACGTGTGCCTCCAGAGCTCCGTTGAGGAGACGTTGCCTCGTGCGCTCTGGCAGCCGAGCTGGGTTTCGTTCGCTTGCAGTCTGAAAAGACTCCTCCTTACATGTTTGACATAGGGTCATGTTTTGCCGAAATAGCCCTTAGAAGCCAGAAAGCCGTAAATTACAGTACTTGTGGGTTTTCGGAATGTGACAAAACGCAGGGTGGCAGGTCAGCCAGCTACCTTGTTTTTGTATTACTAGTTTTATTGTTGATAAAGTACTACGTTTATTGCAGCTTTTGGGTGCTTGCGACACGTGCGGCAATGCAAGCAAGAGCTCTTTGCTTTCTGCTGGATTATCCCCCCGCCTTGCAGAAGAGCTTCTCGCCATCCAGGTCTGCTCCAAGCAGCTTGCACTCATAGGTTCCAGATGTCTCGTCAATTGACACAACTTCCTTCCGAGATGGATTGCCGCATGGGGTGGTAGGAATAGCTGTAGCTTTTATAAGTAGCACTAGCGGTAGCAGCAGCTACCAGACCAAGGACACTCAGGTGGGCCCTTAACTCTCAACCGTCTCGATGCCGTCGAGCATCTGCTTCCGCACCTTCTCTGCCATCAAAGCCCTGGATCCTCAAGGTACGAGCTTTAAGGTTCAATTAGGTACTTTGGGAATTTCTAAGCTTTACTTTACTGGTCAGGGTTACTGTACGGGTTTGTGGTTGCGGGGCATCTCTCTCGCACTCCTGCGTTGATTATGGGCTTCTTGGTGCTGATAGACTCACCTGTGGGATTCTGGCTTTGATTTAGGGTCGGCTTCAAGACGTTCCGACTGGCCAAGGCCTTGCAAGCAGCGCGCTGCAACGAACGAAAGGCCTTCTACACTCCGGCTATCATAATCAGGCCAGGAGCTCAAGCGCCGAAAGTGCTGTGGAACGAATGAAAGCCCGAAGCCCTAAACCCTATCTCTTAAGCCCTAAACGCTGAACCCTGAATCCCGAACCATGATACCCCGGAACCCGCAACAGAGCAGCCTGCTGGCATCTTGCTCTAAATAAAGGAAACTACAGGTGGGGAGTTTAGGGTGCTTCCATAAGGCTTCTATAATGTATATAGACCTTCTATAAGGCTCCTATAACGGTAACTACCCACCTGAAAATGTCCAGATCTAAGTCCCGTGCACTACTCGAGCGCCGACCTCGAAGGACATCGCGGCCCCCGGCGAGCGGCTGTGGAGCTTCGAAAGACTTTAGACCCCAACCCCCCTCTGTTTTGGAGCAGGGACTGCAATGCACCTAAGCCCAACCCCTAAACCCTGAATGTATGTAAGCTCGGCAGAAGAGGCCTCATGATCAAAGTCATCTCATACTGTTGGGTTCAAGGCAAAAAGTTATGGCCTGTCTTGTACTCCCTCATCCCCAATCAAGCATGCGAATACCTCTCTACCACAACGCTGATGTGGGAGAAGGCGACGTCAAACTTCCTGTCCGAACATACTCCTCCATAGGGAGCTGCTAAGGGGTCTGGCGGAGCTCTCCCCTTGACAGCGCTGGCAAGGCTCCTGGGGTGTTGGCACTGCTGTAAGCCAAAACACTCCGACGGAACAAGGGCTTAGGGGTGCAACTGTGTTCTTGGGTCCCTTTTGGGGTCCTGTTGAAAAGGGTGCTGTACTATATTGGGGACAAGCCACGGCTCGCTGCTGCTTGTTTTCGCAGCTCGGCATTCTGATCCATCCCGACAATGGCAGGATCAGAGCAGCATAAGCTTGTTTTGCAGCAAGAACCTGTCTTGTGTCAGTGGCTCTAGGCCGTTTTGCTGAAGCCTGAGAATCCAAGATCCAGCAATGTCTATAATTAGCGGAAGCCAGTAACTTGAGCCGGACAAACTCCTAAAAGACGGCGCATGCAGAAGCCTTCGGCGGCGGCGCACGCGATGGACTGGAAGTGCGGACGAAGGGGTCTTGGACGAAGATGACGTGCACGACAACACACAGAGAGTCGTTATCACATGGACTTCGACAAACCCATGCAGCTTCCTTGGCTTCTCATCTAAATATACACGCCAAAAACCCTGCCTGAACCCCGCGCGCCGCATGTGAGGTCATGGCTTCAGAAAAGGCATCGGTCATAAACCCACATTGGCACTAAGAATAGCCGCCAAGAAATAGGTCATGAACGGAGGAGAAGACAGGGCTCCGGATCCTGTTCGAAGCGATCGAGAACAGAAACGATTTCAGCTGTGGAATAAGCTGTTTGCTAACTTCCAGAGAAGAGTGGACCCCATAGGCTCGAGATACCTTGGGAGCGCCCTCCAATTCTCCACTCTCAGCTGTGGCGCTTTCATCGCCTGCCCAGGGCCAGGGATCTTGCAAACTACGGGAGAAAACGGCCGGCCTCAGTGTATGGAGTGGTTGCTGTGGTTAGGGACCTGCTACAGTATGAGGTCCGTCATGTCTTCGCCGAGAATCCGAAACCCCTGACAAATCATAAGCGTCCCAAAATGTCCCAAATCTTCACAACTGAGGGTATATGGTCCGAAACCCATGATTCCACAGCTCCCTTGTGCATTCATGAGTTGATCGCGAGAACAGCCCTTCAATCCTCAGACAGCCTTCCCCAGCCCACTCCAGCTTCGCCCGAAAGTTTCAGAAGCCATCACTTTAGGGTTTAGGAATGAATTCCAGACTCCACCCGCCGCCCTTGGCTTTTGGGCTCCCGGCTTAGAGCTCAGCAGGCAGAGCCTCCAGGCAAACGCGGAGCTCCCTCGTGACCTCGACACCTGCATTCTGCAGAGCCCTCCAAAAGTGGCAAGGTCAAAGAAGCAGGTCGAAAAGATTCGTGCCCAGCACAAGCAGAGGCAACATGACTCCAAGGCTCCCTGAACTTCTCTGCACGGTCCCAACACTCCAATTCCCCCAACCCGAGGCCCTGGCCAAGCTCGTTGGCGCTCAAATTCACGACCAACTTCTCCAATGTCGGGAGCTTCCTTAAGGCATCGGCGACACCTCGAGCGCCCGCCTCACCTGAACAAGTCTGGTCTTGTAAGATTCATTCTTCCCGGCCCCGCTGCTCCCCGCCACTTCGTCTCAGGCCCGTGCCGGCTCCCGTGCTTGCGAGATGCACCGTCAGCTCCCGAACCCGCGCGAGGCCGCCCAGCGCATCCGCCAGGGAGGCCACTGCGGCGTCGCCTGGGTTTGGGCAGCAAGCCAAAAAAAAGAGTTGCAAGCTTCTGTCGGGCATGTGGGGATCGCTCCAGTCTGGGAAACCGGAAGCCCTTCGCGTGACGCTTGTCGGCAGGTTTTGACATGATGCGTGGAAGACAGTAGGCTGTACTACCCACATAGTACTGTAAACCCCTATGCGACCCTTACACTACCCGCATAGTACGCACATGGTAGTGTAAATCTCTATGCGACCCTTACACCGGCCCTTACACTACCCGTATACTACGCACATAGTACGGTAACCCTTGTGCCGGCCCTTACACCACCCGGATACTACCCGCATAGTACGTAACCCTCATACTACCCCCCCCAGAAACAAAGCATCACTTCGCTAAGCAGCCCCAACCTCCGCGGTGCGCTGCAGCTCTTGGACCTGCAACGAAGGGCTTTTTTTCGCGGCGGAGACAAAGCCTTTCCATAAACCCCTAAACGTTTAGGGTTTAGGGTTTAGGGTTTTTTTTCCCTCCCACTTATATAGCGAGGGTTTCGACTCACACACTCGCTCACGCAGAGGGTTTAGGGTTAGGCCCTAAACCCTAAACCCTAAACCCCACAAGGACTGCATCGGAGAGCCAACCGGAGCCAGTGGACAAATGCAAACCAGACGAAGAGATTAAGCCTGATTTTGAGCTGGCCCTGGCCTGTCACCATACGAGCACACTTTTACCACAGAGTTGGGGCCGTGCCTGTGGTAACAACCGGGTTTCGGGCTTAGGGTTTCGGATGTAGGGTTTAGGGCGTGCGCTCTCACAACTCGGACAATCCAGGCGAGGTCTCAGGCGCAGTCGAAGTGGAAACAGTAAGCCTCCCTCGACCGGGTTTCGGCCCTCATGTGGGTTCGAGGTCTGCTGATAGGTGAAACTAGCTTGCGAGTTCAAGACCAAGCAACACAACTAGACCATACAGTATCGCAACCTGCTAAGTTGGGTAGGTCTTCTTCTCGCCAAGACCTGCACGTCGAGGATAACTAGTTCAGAACTTCGACGACGACTGGGCGAGATCGCACAGCAGCGGGTTCAGGTAAAGCTAGCAACCCACCGAAAGTCTAGAGAGCCGGGGAACGACCTTGTGTACAAGTGTGATCTCTTCTCGACCGGGTTTAGGGTTTAGGATTTCGGAGTTTGGGTGGTTTCTCCCTCCTACTTAGCAAGGACGAGCCCGCATTGCAGGGTTAGTCCGGAACTGTGGCAGAGGGTTAAGGGTTTCTTGGCAGCACAAACACTCTGAGCTCCCCTAAGTTTAGGGTTTACTTGGTACACTTCTCGATTGGTGCATGTCATCCTTGCGCGTTAGGGCCATGCTAATCTTCCCTGTGTCGTTCCAGGGCTTCGGGCGTCGGCTTGCGGGTTCGGCTTTTAAGGCCTCCGGGCCCGATAGCACCTCGTGATGATCGACGATTTCAGACCTGATAGACCTCGTTCGCCTTCATAAATTGCCGAAGACTACAGGATCACCAAGCCTGAAACACTGTAGCTCGAGTCGCGCCGGGTTGGGGATTTCAAGGATAAGAAACTCTCACACAAGAACTGAGCCTACAAGAAGCCCCGGCTTCTTCAAAGCCCCTTTTAGCCAGCCTTGGTGCGGAGCCTGAGGTGTTGCCATGCCCTGCTTACACCATGTCTCCTGAAGCTGGGGAGGGCCGTCGAGTGCTGACTCTGAGGGTGGCTGGGCTGGGCCGGGCGGCTAGCCCGACTGGCATCTTTGTTTCTCCGACACAGATGAACCAGTCAGTGCTAGTCAGGGCCCGGTCCCGAGTGGACAGAACCCTAAACCCTAAACCGCAGGCCTGGCACGCGGAGCGTGCTTCTGGCCCTGCTCGCCGCGTTCAACGCCTTGCTCCGGATCAGGGTTTAGGGCTTAGGGTTTAGGGTTTAGGGTTTTTTTGGGGGGAGGCAAAAAAAAGGGTTTAGGGTTAAGGGCTTTTCGGGTTTAGGGTTTAGGGAGGCCTTGGAAGCAGTCTGCTTGGGAACCGGGCTCTTGCATTCGAAGCAGGAGAGGGAAGAAATCGGCTTGGAGCAGATTCGCTGGTGTGCATGGGGAGGCTGTAAGGATCAGAGAGCGCCGAGGGTGGCACGTCCATCTTCGGGATCGTAGGCCGATCGCCAGAACACTGTGTGAGAATGCTCGGCATGCACCCAAGCGATCAAGAAGACCCGAAAGCCTTCATGTCAATTGCATCCAGGTATCCGAATCCAACACCCTCGTCTCCACCCTACCTGCCAGAATCATTAGGACATCAACAACTCCCTGCTTGAAAACAAACTGCTCCACGGGCCTCCGGGACTGTCAGCTTCGCGCAAGGCCCTCGGGCACTCCCGGCAAGTCTAGCAGCTCTGCCTCAAAGCGTAGCCGCAACTTTCGGCTCAATTCGTCTGCGAGGTGCGAGGTTCTTTCAGGTCAGCGGCGCTACCAGCAGGGACGTGCGCGACTGTGGAGGACCAACCACCTTGGGAAGGCCCTTCACTTCTCAGAGTCCCCAGGATCGACTTACCTTCAACATGCGCACATGGGGGCTTCAACAGGCACGGTCACAATGCAAGGACGTGCCAATGGTCCCTGATCCAGGCAGGCTTGTCCATCCGACAATCCCTCCTTGAAAGACTTTCAAAGGGAGTTGCAGTGCGACCCGCTTGTCTAGCCGACAATCCGGGCGCAGGCTCTTGGCTGAGAACACTTCTGCAACTGCTAACTGCTCGCTCTAATTCGGCACCCATCGCAAACAGGCAGATTCGGCCTTGCTGCAATCAGCGCCACTTGCAATTCTGCAACGACAGGGACCGGCTTGATCTTCTGCGTGAATACTATTGAAGAGTGCTTCTAACAGACTCTTTTAGATCTGGTGCCTGTTACTGGCTCTTGCCGGCGCCCCACAAAGACGCTTTGCATCTCT